CAAAGTGCTGGGATTACAGGCGTGAGCCACTGCGCCCAGCCTTTTTTTTTTTTTGAGACAGTCTTGCTCTGTCACCAGGCTGGAGTGCAGTGGCGTTTTTTTTTTTTTCTGCAACCTCTGCCTCCCTGGTTCAAGCGATTCTTCTGCCTTTTTTTTTTTTTTAGCTGGGATTACAGTCATGCGCCACCACGCCCAGCTAATTTTTTTTTTTTTTTTAGAGACGGATTTCCCCATGTTAGCCAGGATGGTCTTGATCTTTTTTTTTTTTTTTCCACCCGCCTCAGCCTTCCAAAGTGCTGGGATTACAGGTGTTTTTTTTTTTTTCCAGCCTCAGAAAAGATTCTATCTAGTTCATACCAATACAGTCTACCTAATGCCAGGGCCATGGAAAGCTGGGCCTGGTGGGTGCTTGGGCCTGGTTTTTTTTTTTTTGAGCACTAGTGTCCTGCGGCCGCTGCACAGCGGTTCCCTCCTTTTTTTTTTTTTTCTTCCCACTCCTGGATCGCCCAGGGCACTCCTACCCAGCCCTCAAGACCCTACTCCAGTCACTAGAGTCCTTCCTGTGCTCAGAAGCCCCTGCCAGGCATCCCATCTCTGTACACCCACAATCCCTGCACGGGAGCCCTGCGGGCCTCTTTTTTTTTTTTTATTGCTGATGCAGGTAGCGCAGAAGGATGTTTGTCTTTTCTTTTTTTTTTTTTTAGGAGGAAAGACAGAGAAAGTCGCAGACGTGTCCCCTCCCTTTTTTTTTTTTTTGACACTGCCCTGGGAGGTCTTTTTGGGGCTTGAACTCAGTATCCCCAACTCCGGAGATCTCCAAAAGTCCCGTGTTTTTGCTTCTGAGCACACACGCAGCCACTCCCAGCGGCCTGAGTCAGCTGCTTTCAGGGTCCCTGCTCCCTGCATTTTTTTTTTTTTTTGGATGGGGAACTAAGCCCAGGCACTGAGACTCTCGTGCCTGTTTCTCCCGGGCTGACTAGGAGCACACACCGCATATCTGTGCCCAGTGACCACACAGCCCCATCCCCACAGGCTCCAGATGGATAAATGCTTTAAGAGCAGGGTCTTTTTTTTTTTTTTAGGCTGGAATAATCATAGCTCACTGCAGCCTGGAGCTTCTGTTTTTTTTTTTTTTTCCCACCTGGGACTATAGACACACGCCACAACGCCTGGCTTTTTTTTTTTTTTTTTTTGGTGAAACAGGGTCTCACTATGTTGCTCAGGCTGGTTTTTTTTTTTTTTCCTCAAGCAATCCTCCGGCCTCGGCCTCTCAAAGTGCTGGGTTTTTTTTTTTTTGCCACCCTACCTGGTGTGGAGTCTTTTTGAACAGTTAAACTTTTTTTTTTTTTTCAAGTCCTCCTGTGCTGTGGGTCCCTCCAGCTGGACCCCCTTCCTGTCACTTTCACCCAGGCCTGGCTGGATCCCCAGCCCAGGCTCCTGTAGCCTTTTTTTTTTTTTCTGCCCAATAGTACTTGTCTTAGATCCAGAGTCCTCGCCTGTTTTTTTTTTTTTAGGAGGGGAAGGGGCCAGTGAGTGGCAGATGAGGGACAACTTGGGGGCCCCTTTGGGCTGACTATGGATCCCAGTGTGTCCCAATCAGGAGACGTTTTTTTTTTTTTTGGTTTCTGGCTGTCCCCAGGTGCTAGGAGTGGACAGGCATCCACGTGTGCATCCCCAGGCTGAAGCCCCCACAGTCCCCCTCCTGCACCTCCCTGGAGGCCCTCCCTGACCTAACTGGATTCAGTAGCCAGCATGTGAACCCCAGCCAAGTCTATGGCCTGGGCCAGGGTTGAAGATAACCTCCTCGTGCCACGCTGCGGTCACCAAACCCCACCCCTCAGCAGCCAGAATGGGACAGACCGACAGCGGCCACTTACTTTTTTTTTTTTTGTACTCTCGGGTGGGCAGGTAGACTGAGGGCCGTCGGTTCTGCAGGAGGGTTGGGAAGGGGTAGGTTAGGAGAGTGCATGGGCCTGGGGTCTCCTTTTTTTTTTTTTTGGCACCCACCCTTCAGTGCAGATTGGAAGACACTCAAGAATTTTTTTTTTTTTTGGCTTGAAGATCAGCCTCTGTTCCAGCCAAGACCCCAATCGTTTTTTTTTTTTTACCCCCAGGCCCCCTGGAAGTGCCCAGTCCCTCCCAGCCCCAGGAACCCGCACTCACCGAGGCTTTGCACACGGAGTCCGCGTGAAATCGACTAATTTTTTTTTTTTTGTAGACAGGCAGTCCTTTCAAAAAATCTGCCTAGAAGACATTTTTTTTTTTTTTTGAGAAAATAGGCAACGGGCCGGCTCATCCCTGAAGCACCTTTTTTTTTTTTTTCTTCTTCCCCGCTGTTCTTTATAGTTCAAGTTTTCCAGAACACACTCTTGAGCTGGCTGCTGGATACACTGCCGGGCCCAGAGAAAAGTAACCAAGCCAGGCTATGTGCACGTCCTCCGGGGGGTCCTCATGACAGCCCCTAACTAGGTTTTTTTTTTTTTTATTGAGGCTGCAAGAGAACAGGCCACTGGTTAAAAGTCATATTTTTTTTTTTTTACATCTGTAATCCCAGCACTTTGGGAGGCCGAGACGGGCGGTTTTTTTTTTTTTAGGAGTTTGAGACTAGCCTGGCCAACATGGCAAAACCTCATTTTTTTTTTTTTTATAAAAATTAGCCGGGCGTGGTGGTGCGCGCCTATGATCCCTTTTTTTTTTTTTGCTGAGGCTGGGGAATCACTCGAACTCGGGAGGCAGAGGTTTTTTTTTTTTGCAGTGAGCCAAGATCATGCCACTGCACTCCAATATGGGCGACAGAACCAGACTGTCTCAAAAAAAAAAAAAAAAAAAAGTCATTTTTTTTTTTTTTTTTTACTTTTTTTTTTTTTTTTTTTTTGAGACGGAGTCTTGCTCTGTCGCCCAGGCTGGAGTGCAGTGGCGCCATCTCCACTCACTGCAAGCTCCGCTTCCTGGGTTCACGCCATTCTTCTGCCTCAGCCTCCCGTGTAGCTGGGACTACAGGCGCCTGCCACCGCGCCCGGCTAATTTTTTTTGTATTTTTAGTAGAGACGGGGTTTTCACCGTGTTAGCCAGGATGGTCTTGATATCCTGACCTCGTGATCTGCCCGTCTCGGCCTCCCAAAGTGCTGGGATTACAGGCTTGAGCCACCGCGCCCAGTCAAAAAAGTCATTTTCAATCCAACGCTGTGAGTGACGTCTGGAGTGGGCCAGTGGCGGGACCGTCTGCTGCGAGTCTCCCCACAAGGCTTGCCCTAAACAGGGCTCTCCTGAGCTCATTATGTATGATCTCCTGACCCAACGAGGCAGGAGGTAGTGTCTCCCTATCAAAGGCAAGGACACGGAGGCAGAGAGGTCACCCAGTCTCAGTCAGAAAACCAGGGGCTGATTTGAACCCACATGTACCCCACCTCGGATTCCAAGCTCCTTCTCTTCATCACACACCTGAAAAGCAAGGGCTGGAGCCCCGGCAGGCTACAGAGCTGGGAGGGAGGGCCATCCCCTGATTCCTGAGGCCCAAGAGAGCTGCCCTGGGAGAAGCTGCTGTTCAATTTCCCACCATTCTCTGGGACAGGCAGGAGCAGCAGTGTCCCCAATTCTATGACATCTGGCCCCACGTCTGCTGGTCCCTCTCGGGAAGCCGGAATGTGGCTGGGTGGGCCTCCCCCTCCCACCTGGGACACAGCCGTCACATCTGGATGACCTACTGCCCCAGGACTAGTTCGAAGTCCCTCAAACCTGCCTCCCCTCCACCCTAGGATGCCAGCCTCAGCTCAGCCCCTGGCTGTGGGGCCAGCTTTATTCATTCAGCAAGTTCTGGGGCCCCAGCAGGCACCAGGGCACTGGACTGAGCCACCATGGATGCGCACCTGGCCTTGGGATGGTGTGGGGCAAAGAGCTGCACAGTGGACGGGAAGTGGCTGCAGGAAAGGGTGCCTCGAGGGCACAGTGTGAGGTGCAAGGCAGAGCTCTGGCCCATTTGGGGGATAAGGGAGGGCTGCCCAGACGCAGGGATGGAGGCACTAAGACCTGAAGGGTGAGGAGGGGTCCCTGTCCACCTTTGAAGCCCTGGCCTAGCTTGCCTCTGCTGGACTCCCATCACACACACCCTCTGCCACACACACCCTCTAGGAATGCCCCTCATGCCTCCATGTGGCAAATACCTGCTAACCTCCCCACCAGCTCCAACCCCCTCCCTGGCCCCTTTGCTCCCCCGACACTTTGGGAGCCTCTCCCAGAGCCTCCCTCACACCCCAGCGAGGCCATCTGTTTACACATCCACCTCCCTGGCTGGATTGGTACCTCCCCGAGGGCAGAGGACAGGACAGGGCTGACTCAACCCTAGCCAGGCTCGCATGGGGCCCAGTGGCTGAGTGGCGAGAGCCACAGGTACCCCGGGTTTTCTGCTCTCAATCCTGGCTCAGCCCGTCCCTGATTGTGTGACCTGGGACGAGGGACCTCCCAGCCTCTGGGCCTCCCTGTGAAGAGAGGCATTCCAACAGGGCCACCTCCCAGGGTTACTCTGAGTCATAAGACAACAAGGGGAATGCTTTGCACGGAGCTCCCTTGGGGGCAGCCTTTACGATCCACATGTCTGCGTTGGACAAATGAATGAAGGCAGGGTAGCCTTCCTGTCATGCTAAGCTGGAAAACAAGACCTCGAGACATGGCAGGCAGGGGGTGGGGGAAACCTCATCTCAGCCAGACAAATGCCAGCCACGGCTGGGCCCTGGAGCCATCCATTACCTCAGCAGACACGCACTGGACACCTGTGTGCCCATCCCACTGCAGGTAGCCTGCCAGAGACCCAACAAAGAGATGAGGAAGAGAAGCGGTGTGCTGACAGCAAAGAATTGGGGAACCCCCAAAGTCAGGAAGGGCCTCTATCACAGGAGGAAGAGTGTTCTGAGCAGAAAGAGCAGCAGGTGTAAAGGCCCTGAGGTGGCAGGAACCTGGAGTGTGAGGAAGTGAAAACAAGGCCAGGGTGGCTGAAGCACAGAGTGGAGAAGAGACTGGAGATAAGGTCATAGAGGTGGCCAGGGGCCTCAGGGTGAGGAGGGGAGCCGCCAGGGTTCCTGGAGCATTTTATCGGCTAGAAAGTGGTATCATTTGATGCACATCTTTAAAAGCTCCTTCTGGCCAGGCACAGCGGCTCACACCTGTAATCCCAGCACTTTGGGAGGCCGAAGCGGGTGGATCACAAGATCAGGAGTTCAAGACCAGCCTGGCCAATACGGTGAAACCCTGTCTCTACTAAAAATACAAAAATTAGACGGGCATGGTGGTGGGTGCCTGTAGTCTCAGCTACTAGGGGGGCTGAGGCAGGAGAATGGCTTGAACACGGGAGGCGGAGGTTGCAGTGAGCCGAAATTATGCCACTGCACTCCAGGATGGGCAACAGAGCGAGACTCCATCTCAATCTCAAAAAAAAAAAAAAAAAAAAAAAAAAAAAAGCTCCTTCTCAGTCCCCATGCAGTGCCTCACGCCTGTAATGCCAGTACTTTGGGAGACTGAGGCAGGATCACTTGAGCCCAAGAGTTCGAGACCAGCCTGGGCAACACAGGGAGTCCCCATCTCTCCAAAAAGTACAAAAATGAGCTAGGTGGGAGGATCTCTTGAGCCTGGGAAGTGGAGACTGCAATGGGCTGCGATCACACACTGCACTTCAGCCTGGGCGCCAGAATGAGACCCTGCCTCCAATTTAAAAAAAAGCTCCTTCTGGTTCAGGTGAATTATGAACTGCCAAAGGGGTGAGAGCAAGGCTAGGAGACCAGGGAAGAAGCTGGGACAGGTACACAGGTGGGAGGTAGCAGTACCTGCAACAGGGTGTGAAGCCATGGATGAATTCAGGTGTTTTCTGAAGGTAGAGCCAATCTAATCCACTCATGATTGGCCGCAGGGATGAGACTGTACCAAGGTGTAAAGGACAACACCCAGGCTTGGGGACCCCCACACTAGGAACCCACCTTCCCATTTCCTTCCTGAAAAGGAGTCTTCCTTTCATCCCCACCACATCCCAAGGACTGTGGATTGTGGGCTGGGAGTCTGGGTCAGGGGACAAAGTAGCCTTGATGTATCTCGACCAAGCTTCTCATCACTCTTCCCAGCCCTGAGGATGCCAACTAGTGGGGGTTGGGGAGAGGCTTTAGCTCCACTCTGAGGGTGGGTCACCATCCCACTTTTCAGGTGGGGAGACTGAACCCCGAAGAACCACCAGACCCAAATTCCAGGATGACTGAGAAACCCAGAAGGAATTTCAATGTTCCAACAGCCAGGTGGGGACGATCCACACTTCATGAACGTCACTGGCCTCGAGTCACCCAGCTCATCTGTTCAGCATTCACTATCCTAAGTCCTTTACGACGTCAGTTACCTAAATTGTCACCACCCTAAGAGGTTCAGACTACTGCTACCCTCATTTGACAGGGACAACCCATGTGGATCGGAGATAAAAGTTGCTCATTCTTAGGGGCGGATAAGGGCCCAGAATGGCGGAGGTGGGGTCAGGACCCAGGGGGACCGGGACAGTCGGCGATGTCGCACTTCCTTTGGCGACAAAGCCCTGCATATCACGGTGCCAAGCCCCCTCCCCCTCCCCGGGACCCAGGCCGGCCTCCCAAATTCTCCTGAACTGAAGAGATCCAGGACCAGCGCGCTGAGGACGAGGCCGGACCAGGGGGTCTTACGGGACCCCATCCCCACCTCAGACGGTTTCCGGGGGGAGCCGCAACCCGGAAATGAATGAGTTGTCAGGGCCTGGCATCCTGGATGGGGTCAGGGGTCGGAGAAGGAGTGGCAGTGGGATCATCAGGAAGCTCTCGGTAGGGTCCGGGGGTCGAAGGTCACAGGTGAGTAGGGGGGCGGGCCAAGCCTGAGGGGGCCGGGCAGGGCGGAGAGGGGCCTAGGGGGATACTAGAGATGGGTGGGACCACGGCGCCATTTTGTCGAGCGGAGGGGGAGTAGAGGCCTGGAGGCCATACTCACCATCTTCTGTTTCCTCCGTCGCCGCCTCGGCCGCCGCCTCAGCCTCCACCGCCGCCACCACAGCCGCCTTCTAAGCCGCCGCCTCACAGTAACTTCCAGCCACGGCACAGCCCACACTGATGGCGCCACCACCCCCCCGTCATTGGTGCGCACTCTAGCCCCGCCCCCACATATGAGCGCTTTGCACGCTCCCATTGGCCTCATCCAGCTAACTCATGCGCCCATTGGTTGCCACGCCTCCTCCCATTGTGGTCAAGTTCGGTTGAAGAAGCAAAGCCCCGCCCGGTACTTGGAAGCAATGGAAAGTGAGATCCGGAAGTGGGCGGAGGCCTCGGCCGCGAAGTCTCTTGGGAGTTGTAGTTTACAACTCCGCGAGCCTCTCTAGAGCTTTTGCGTGTCTGTTTTTAAGATGAGCGGGTCGGCCGGGTGCGGTGGCTCACGCCTATAATCCTAGCACTTTGGGAGGTCGAGGCGGGTGGATCGCCTGAGGTCAGGAGTTCGAGACCAGCCTGGCTAACATGGTGAAACCCCCATCTCTGCGCCTGTAATCCCAGCTACTCGGGAGGCTGAGGCAGGAGAATCACTTGAACCCGGTAGGCGGAGGTTGCAGTGAGCCGAGATCGCGCCATTGCACTCCAGCCTGGGCAACAAAAGTGAAAATCAGTCTCAAAAAAAAGAAAAAGAAAAAAAATGAAAGGTCGGCTGGGCGCAGTGGCTCACGCCTGTATCCCAGCACTTTGGAAGGCCGCAGTGCGGCGGATCACGCGGTCAGCAAGATCGAGGACGTCCTGCGTAACACCGGCGAAACCGCCGTCTTTACTAAAAATACAAAAATTAGCCGAGCGAGGTGGCGGGCCGCTGTAGTCCAGCTACTCGGGAGGGCTGAGGGCAGGAGATAGGGTGACGCCGGGAAGGCACGAGCTTTGTGTGGCCGGAATCGCGCACTGCATCCAGCTGGCCAACGACGACGAACTGTCTACAAAAACAAAAAAAAAAAAAAATTCCGGGCACGGTGGCTCACACCTATAATCCCAGCACTTTGGCGGATCATGAGGGCAGGAGTTCGAGACCCGCCCGGGCAACAAGAGCGAAATTCCCTCTCCAAAAAAAAAAAGATAGGGGGGTCCCACTATGTTTCCCAAGCTGGTCTCAAACTTCTGGCCTAAAGCAATCCTCCAGACTTGACTTCCCAAAGTTCTGGGAGCCATCGTGCCAGCATCTTCTTGTGTTTATCACATTTTTAAAGCAGCCCTAGAAGAGGAAAACCATAACACTCCCTATCCCCTCCTCAAGACCATCTTGCTCAAACACCTCCCATAACTCCCTAGTATTCAATCCCACCTCCTTGACCCCATTTATAGGTACCTGCAGCCTTCATTGCCCACCTGTGTCCTCACCTCTAACCAATTCCTCCTACATCGGGGCTCTCCCAGACCTTGCCATTTCCTCCAAGACTGCATTCTTCAAAAAGGCAAGTCAGATATCTTCACTGAGGTCCTACAGCCCTCACAATCCCCCTCCCAGCCCTGACACCGCGGTGTCCAAACTGTCTTCCTGACTTCCAGGGCAAAGACTGGGCACCCAGCACATAGCAATTGCACAGTGAAGTTGCTAAGTGGAAGCTACTAAGTATTATTACTCCAATAGCAACAGAGCAGAGGAGAAACCAGCACTGCATTTTATAGGCGACAAACGCACCCCACAGAGCTAAGTCCTTGCTCAAAATCAAACATCCCCAAGGGGCAGGCAGAAGATTCAAACTCCTTACGGGCTGGAGTTCGAGATCAGCCTGGCCAACATGGTGAAACCCCCCTCCGCTCCCAAAGTCGCTGGGATTACAGGTGTGACCCCGCCGTCTGCTTTTTTTTTTTTTTTTTTTTGATACAGAGTCTCGCTCTGTCCCCAGGCTGGAGTGCAGTGCACGATCTTGGCTCACTGCAAACTCTGTCTCCCGGGTTCAAGCAATTCTCCTGCCTCAGCCTCCTGAGTAGCTGGGATATAGGCGCCCACCACCACACCCGGGCTAATTTTTGTATTTTTAGTAGAGACGGGGTTTCAACCATGTTGGCCAGGCTGGTCTCTCGAACTCCTGACCTCAGGTGATCTGCCTGCCTTGGCCTCCAAAAGTGCTGGGATTACAGGTGTGAGCCATCATGCCCAGCCTGTGTCATAAATTTATAGGTCTAGGAAGGCTGGTGGAAAACTGTGTGTGTGTGGCCGGGGGGGGGGGTGTTGTTTTTGAAACGGGTCTCACTCTGTCGCCCAGGCTGGCGTGGCTGAGTGCAGTTGTCGGATCCCTGCTCACTGCACCTCTGCCTTCGGGTTGAAGCAGTTCTGGTGCCTTAGCCTCCCCAGTAGCTGGATTACAGGCGCTGCAATTCATACCCAGCTAAC